TCGTTGGATTCCTCTCACTCTGTACAATCCAAATAGTGATGGGGGGGGGGGGTGGCGGCGGGAGCCCCGGCAGCCCCCACCAGGGGGGGCCGCAGGGGGCACAGCCTTCTTCATTGGAAAGTCGTGTGAATAACCATGGTTATTTTCACTGTGGGTTATATTATTAGTGTTATTTAACCCTGCATTTTCCCTGGAACCTTTCATGCCCTCCCCTGCTATCGGGGCCAAGTTTGTCGCTAACGGGGGGGTTTCCGCACAACAAAAACTATGTATTTGCAATGTGGATGGTGAGAGGAATCCAACAATACCAAAATTGTCGATATCGGAGAGGCGAAGGTAATATAGAAAATTACAGCCACTTGTATTGTCTAGTGCAGGGGGCTGTACCCCTGTAATCCTCCCCATGGGGGCTACTGCCCCTGAACCACTGCCCAGGAAAACCACAAATCCTCACGTATTCACAGCAGGAGAAAGCATAGGATAGTTTTTAACAGGCGCTCCTGCATGTTGGTCGACGGCTCTACCCTGGTGTGGACATGTGGAAGATTGTATTCCATTGGAAGGGTTGGGGGGCAGTAGCCCCTCAGGATGGGGTCAGAGGGCAAAGATCTGTGCATTAGATAATATAGTGATGGATACTGTGTATATTATTCATATTTTGCCTTTTCCTTGGTGCCTTTTATGCCTTCCCTTAGTATTAGGGCCAAGGTTGTCTATAATGGCGGGAGTAGTTTCCCTGGCATAATTTGGAGATATTTGGATAGAGAGTGAGAGGGATCCATTGATACCAGAATTGTTGTGACTGGTTATGCTAAGATATTTTGAATTACCTTTGGAAGATGTCGAAATTAGAAAAAAAAAAATGAAAAAAGAAATCTGAACATGTCCTGATTATAAATGCGAAGAAAATCATAGAAACGAAAAACCTGAGCCAAAATTCCATATGTAAAAGAAAGTGAAAAGAAAGATACAAAATTCAGCATAAAAATCAATGTGTAAAATAAGAAAATAGTTGGTGTGCAATTGATAAATGTGCAAGCTTTTTGTTCATCCGCCACTGGAAGATGTGTTGTGCAAGTGTCAAGTGTTGCTTAATTTCGCCAATTTTTTTAAAAGATCACTGTACATATTAAACATACCTTTCGAACCTCGTATCAGGGAAAAGTCAGGTAAATTTACCGCGGACAACAATTGTGGTTACAGTAAAAAAAAGTGTAATGGAGTGATTACCTTGACGTAAACTAAGACCCTTTTCATCTATGGCATAAGGTATGCAACCCGAAAATAAAGGAGATACATGACAGAGAAGAGAGATCAGCCATGTTGACATCGCAAATGTAAAAAAAGTTACGGCCACTTAACTCCTTCCTGCGCACTCTCAAGTAGGTCATGTATTAATACGCGTTTGTTAAAGCGATGTTTGGCTCATTTTTAGTGTGCTGTTCCACATTTATGCTTTCAAAGGCCTTTGTTAATGTTGTTACACCACATTTACGTGGTTCATGATTTATTAGTGATTTTTGGAAATCGGCCTGAAGAACACTTTGCGCATGTGCATTTTTGCATTTCTGGCCGCCACGTTTGACAGGACAATTCCCGGGCATTCGGTGACAGGCGGGCGAGAAACGTTTTGTTTTCGGTATTGCTAGTAGCCCCAATCCCAAAAAAGTGATAAAAACAAAGCAATCAACAATACATTGACCGGTGTCTGCCCAAAGAAGTGAAGGAAAATTGACAGTTCAGTCTTTCAATGTATAAGGATGTTTGGTTTATTGTTTACAGTATAGATTTAGCTCTATCTTGCTGTACATACTGAGATGGAGAGAATGTGTCCCCGGGGGGTGTTGGGGGGCGGAACCTCCCATCAACCCTCCCCTTGAGCAGTGCCCAATGGGCACGCCTAGTCATGGCACCGTAAATTGCTAGATTAGTTGGGGTTATGGGTTAGGATGTTTTGGGGGGGTTTTGAAGGTGTGAAATCCTGTAGATTTTGCCAGAAAATTAGTTGGTTGGATTCTTGAATTTTGGGCGTCAGTGCGTAGTGTTTTTTAGTTTAGCTGTTTTTTAGTGTTTTTTGTTGTGCTAGTTTTGCTCATTTCAGTTTGCTATTCTTATTTAAGCCTGTTTTACCCCTTAATTTGCCTGATATACTTCATGCCCTCCCCTGCCGTTGGGACTTGACACATCAAGATCATCGGCTGTGATGGCTAAGGAAATGATCATCAGATTCATTCTCATTACAAGAGAATAAATTTGATTATTTATTGTCTGGGAAGTCCCTAATGTTGTTATTAAAAAAAAAAAAAAAAAAAAAAAAGTTAGGGTTTGACAGTCAGGGTTACTGTAAAGAAAAATGTATGCAATGGTTACCTTGTTGTAAGCTGATACTTTTCATCCATAGCAAAAGGTGCAGAAATTGAAAATAAAGGAGATACATGACAGACGAAGTCCCTTACCATGTTGACATTGCGAAAGAAAACGTTACTCTGTACTATACTATAACCCTATAACTCATTATTGACATTTGTTAACTAGTTTATGTATTATTATTACCTTGTGAAAATAATTATTCTGTAATTTTTATTACTCTAATTTTGATGAATAATATATTTATGCTATTCTCTCAAAAAAGCTGCACATGTGAGTTTTTGCCACTTTGACTTTCAAGACCTTGAGTTGCCATTCCCTGACAAAAAAGGCCTATGATGGTTTCATTTTCAGTGTTGATGTCTCTGGACATAAAGGTATCTGATATTTTTTATGGACATAGCTATATCCTGCAGCAAATGTCAATGATAACGACGCACCCTCCCCGAGACTGTTGAAAAAAAAAAAAATTTTCTGCTGGAAATCTAATGATTTCAGCAGTTCTCAGTGTTTTTTTCTTCTGCAAATGAATCATTCAGGAGATCGAGTACCATTTCTCCATTGACGATCTTGATTTGTCAGTCCCATTAGCAGGGGAGGGCATCAAGTATATCAGGAAAATTATGGGGTAAAACAAGCTTATATAAGAAGAATATCAATCAAAAATATGTAAAACTGCCACAAAAGGTTTAAAATCGACCAATGAAACTTTGACAGATGTAACCGCCATCTTTGAAATTCTACGGACTGACGCATCAAAATTCAAAAACTATGGGACCCCAATCTGCCTTTTGACAAAGCTCTATGTGAAGTCACCTGAATAAATTTGACTTTTTTTTTTATAATGTTTTCGGTATATCTCGCAGGTCCCATTTTTTCCTGATTTATCCCCCCAAAATACTTGTTAGATCTATCCTATACTGTGTAGATGGCGGATTATAAAATTTCTTGTTTTGGGTTGACAGCGTACGCTATTTGGTCACTTTTTAGGTTTATGTAATTATAGTTTTTGATTTATTACAACGGTGTCAGGATTCCAGTGCTTTAGCAAAAGCAAGAAACTATTTGATATGCATGAAAGACTTATTAAAGTAGTTGAATTTTTCCCATGCTCCACATAAGGGGAGGGCAATGGGGACATGGGTGTTTATAGTTTTCGAGGAGGATGATGTATATGTAAACACATGCACACAAGGTTAACCATTTTAATCGTCCTCATTTAGTAGGCCTACATCAACTATTATATGTGAAGGATTAAAATATATTAGTTATCCTTATCAAACTGTCTTCTTCACCAATTTACAAAAGTAAATTTTCAACGAGAAGTGAATGTAGAGTTGGTGTTGCATGCATTATGTTTTAAGAATTTCATAAAATCATCAGATGCTTAGGTGTAGTTGGATAGTTGCGTATTTATGGTACCGAAGACCAACATGTAATATTTTAATTTGAAATGCACAAAAGATGTGATTCTAGTTTCAAGTCGAGATGAAGAGTGCGCATTCAAATGAGCTCAAAATTCCATAATAGTTTTTATTTTGGAGCAGGTATTACTCCTATTTTTCAACATTAAATAACTGGTATCTTGCTTGTATCTCTGAAGTTCAAAGAACCGACTTCTATGTGGCCTTAGTATTGAAACGACTAATTTCAAACAAAATCAAATTTGCCATAGCTGGAAAGTACCAACATTTGAGTGAAGTCTAACAGAAATATTTTAATCATTTTTTATATGGCTATTTTCAAACCTCCGTGCTTTGTACTCGGTATACATACGGATCCCTTCATAAGCTAGAAATTATTAGGGAGTCTTGATGGAAGGCATATTTCATGAGTACAAGTGCATTAAACTGTATATATTTCACTCTTCCGTCAAATCACTGATTTTTTATTGATATTGATATAAGTGTTCTTTGAACATTCACAAACTCATATCTATGTGCAATGTCGTCATCAAATGCTGTATAATATTGCAACAAGCAAAAGCCCACACAAGTGTAGCAGGGCGCATGTTAGCGGCATACCTCCCCATGTGTTGGCGGGTCTCACATGTGCTGCCCGGGAACTAACTATAGCTGGTCTTTAATAGTCGTTTGGTAATTTCCTCATTCTGATACCTATACAATATGTTAACTAACTCAGTTTGATTATTTGAACAAGTTATGGGGTCAATTCTAGTAAATAATCATAATTGATAATGGCAAGAGGTTTGTCATGTTGTCATTCAGGTCTCTTTGGGCTCTTTGTTAGGTTTTATTATTTTGTACTATTCAGTTTTCTGAAATGCAGCCATGTGGAAATGGCATCCTCCCTGGAGCTGGCGCTCTTCCAGTCATAGCTTACGGACATTACATTTCCAAACTTGTTTATCGATGGGAATAATACAAATGACTCTTTCTAATGCTAAATGTCTAATCAGGCTCCAAGAGGTTTATGCAATCATGGCAAGTCTTTTCCATCACCCTGGCCTTCAGTCATAATGACAAGTTTTTCACTTGGTATGCAGTCATTTTGTGCTATGATGGCATGTTCATGTCACCCAGCCCTTAACCATAATATTTTCATGACCTTATGGTCATATTACAGGATTAAAGGGGTGAATGCATGTGTTGCTTCATTGTCATGCAAATATTGTCATAATGACAAGTTTTTCACTTGGTATGCAGTCATTTTGTGCTATGATGGCATGTTCATGTCACCCAGCCCTTAACCATAATATTTTCATGACCTTATGGTCATATTACAGGATTAAAGGGGTTAAATGCATAACCTTTCTACTTATGAGTCCTTTTGGTTTGAGTGAATAAAGTTCTGATTTTATTATCATCATTCACATTAAAGCAAGGTGTTTGTGTATTAATCATTATGCATGTCTCTTTCTATAACATGTTTTCTAATGTATCTCCAGATATTATGATCGCCGAGATGCAGAAGATGCAATGGAAGCAATGGATGGTCGACGCCTTGATGGCCGAGAGCTGAGAGTACAGATGGCCCGCTATGGCCGCCCAGAAACCCCTCCACATCGAAGACGCCGCCGACGGTACTCGTAAGTCTGTTTGTTGAATAGGATCAAAATTCATTAATTTCCTCCCACTTTTTTATTTGCTTGAATTGTATTACTTTTCATTAGTCATTACTGAACTGAAAGTTAGTGTAAAGTTCATGTGTGGAGTGAAAACTTAAATTTTGCTTAGTGTGGTCATTCAGACCCTTATGACAAGGTCTTGGGACTAATCAGAATCTTTAGTCTGTTAAGTGGCCCCATATGCACATTTTAGATTTATACATTTTTTAATTATTTTATTATTTATTATTATTATTATTACTTTTATCGATATTACTTGTGATTTTTTTCTAACTTCTAGATACTTTTGTTTTTATGTTCTATGAGATTTGATTGTGTTACTGATTAGCAGTAATATAGATATGTCCAATGTATGTATATAAATAGATTTATAAATTTCTTCACAATTTTATATACAGGACATTATAATTGTGTTATCATAATTGGTATATGAATTTATTACATGGATTTATGTAAAAATGGGGCTGGTGGTATGCTAAGCAATCCACTCTCGATGAGTGACTTAATACCATGTAAGAAATCCATATTTATATATACATGATATATATTTTTTCATTAGGATGTATTTCTGTAACACTGTATTCTTCCCTAAATCATTGTTACTTTTGTTGGTTTCTAACTTTATTTGCTTTCCTTTGATGAATGATTGAACACTTCTGTCTTATGTGAATCTTCTGGTGTTTTGTAATTTTGTTTGGTTATAGTTAATCCAGTTAGAAAACTGAAGTAAAGTTTATTCTATAGGATTTTTATTCAAGATGGTTCTGATGAAGTTTAAAATCAGTTGTATTGGTTCTATCTTGACGAAGTTTCCAAGTAGGAGCACAGATTCTCAACCTAATTTTGATAATTCGGTGTTTTATGATAAGTATAGTTTAAAAAAAATACTAGCCTATTTGGGTGTTGTCAAGCTGCTGATCAAGGTGAGCCCTAACTTATTTTGAATAAATCTTTGACAATACCATTACACAAGCTAATATTTTTAAATGATATCTTTTTTGCCCCACAATGAAGGAGCAGGAGGTAAACCATGTTAATCATTGTAGCTTATAATAGTGTTACTTTTACTCTGTCTCTTGTGCGATAGGTCATGTAAGTTTCAGATGAAAATGTAATCTGTAGGGAAACTTTATTAAAGGGATTTTACTTACACATAATGTAATACAGAAGTGGTTATGTTTGTACTGTTAGCTTTGAATAAGATTGTGGGTCCTCCTGTCTTTCCTTGTAACCTATAGCATGGATAAATTGCATGCTGGAATAATGAAATCTTCAAATTTTCTTCAAGAAGTAGTCATAGGAAATTTAATAAATTTGAATTAGGTGGTGAACTTGTTCTTTGTTTAGTGTTAGTTGGTGTGAGTATTCATCACTTGTATTCATTCTGTAGAAGCTTCTGTGGTTGTTTTAGTTGTATGGCTTGGTTGTGATTTTATATTCTAGGTTTTCCCTTATATTAGTTTTGTAATAGGTTCAGAATGTTTCATTCCTTTTCAATGTGTGTCAGTTGAAGATTTGTTGAAGTTATTTCTAATAAATTGTATTTGGAAAAATACGCAAACACATCTAAATGAGAAATATACGACAGTCAATGGAGAAAACTTGGAAACTTTTTCTCTTAGGAATGAGAGTAAAAATTTGCTATAGGGAAGCAGAATCTGCAGATTGAAAATAAATTTAGATTTAGACCTAGAATGTAGACCAGCATTTTATGGATAGCAAAGGAGTATTCTGGAATGTAAGGATATTAGCGGATGAATTAGGAATATTTAGTAATTGATTTGATTGAAAAGTAAAAGGCAAATATATTAATTTTATTTTAGTGTTTTTAAGGCTGGTTATACAATTTGAAATATAATTTCCAGTCAAGTTATTGATAGTACCATTATACATAAGGCAGAAAGCATGATAAGATGTAATTTTCCTTGAACTATTTATATTGATTTTTTAAATTTTTGTTAAACTGCAATAAGGGCAGACTGGCATTGAGAAACTATTTAAATTGTGGTATTTTAGGCTAGATTCCATAAATACTATACTATTTTGCTAATATCGCGCGCGTGCACACACTCGTCGTTAAAGAACACGTGTGGAATTCATGGTGAACAGATTGCAACAGGAACAACGAAGGAAAGGGCAAGAAAACGCACAAATATGCCTCTTCGTGTGTTTTCTTGCCCTTCCCTTCTTTGTTCCTGTTACACACACACACTCACTCACTCACTCACTCACTCACTCACTCACTCACTCACTCACTCACTCACACTCTAGTTATACATGCATTGATAACATTGAAACCAACTTAAATGAACAAGTTAAAGGGATGTATTATTCATGATTGGTCAAGGAACTACTGGTGTTTGTGTTGTGATGCATGTTAGTGTTTTCTTATTCACTTCTATGCAGTGGGAGTAATAAACGTTTAGTGATATACATCCTAAATAGAGAATAGATGAAATGAAATGCAATGCATGTTATAATAAGGGAGGGGGGGGGGGGAGTTCCATTTATATTTTTTCTATTAAATGTGAATTAAGAGAATTAAACTTGTCAGGTTATCAATTTGAAGCTAGATAGTATGTAAGTGTAATGTGACATCGGAAAAAAGCAAATTTTGCTTGTTTCTGGTATGTTTTTTTATGAAAGATTACTTCATATTATTTTTGCCCTGAAATGTCTACATTCAGGGACAATTCCAGGTCGAGGTCGAGGTCACGTTCTCGTTCAAGGTCACGCAGGAGAAGTCGCAGGTCACGATCGCGTTCAAGGTCAAGGTCACGCTCCCGCAGGAGGCACTCTAGATCAAGGTGAGTAGTTATAGACCCAACATTTTCAAGTTTTTGCTTTTTCAAAATTCAGGGGATATTGATTTTGAACTAGGCACAAAAAAGTAGTGCTGCCCATTGCAGTCATGGGCAGATAACTCCCAAGAAGAAAGTCAAGTGAAGCAATTGGCAGATTACAGTAGATTTTGGGAATAAATGCCTACAGTAAAGCATGGGAAATACCTGTCCACCAGGTCTGGCAGCCACTCACGCTCCCGCTCGCGTTCAAGGTCACACTCTGGAAGCAAGAGCCGTTCCCGCAGCCCAGAAGAACGTGAATCGAAGTCCCCAGAAAAGCAAGATAAGGAGAATGGAATGGATGAGGCAGCTGCTATGGAGGAAGAGCAAATGGACCGATCTCATTCACGTTCTAAGTCCCGATCACGTTCAAGATCTCGATCTAAGTCTAGGTCAAGATCTAAGTCGCGTAGCAAGTCCAGGTCCAGGTCACGCTCAAGGTAAGATTAGATGATAATCATTATGATTGAATTCAAATATCCCAAGGCTACATGGTGAAGAGCATCAGTAAGTAGATTGAAGCATTATGAAGCCTTTTATCTTGAAAAAGTATAATTGAAATGGTTGTTGTTTCTGGTGGAAAAATGTAAATAATTTGGAAATGGATATTATTGTTAAGATAGGAATTGAAATGCCTTCTGTGGTTTTACCATCCTTTGTAAAGAAGTTCAAGAAGTAATTAAATTTTGTTACTTGTAAATAAAAAAGTGCAAGGTTGATAGTCCAGGGTATTCCTATCTTGTTGCATAATTCTACATGGGATTCCATTTTTTTCTCCCAAAACTAAAATAGAAATTACAATATTCAAGAAAAATACTTCCCTCCCTTCCCCTCTCACATCTGATATATCTCATGTCATATCCCACAAATCCTATCATATGTATCTCATATCATATATCATATATATCTCATGTCATATATCATATATATCTCATCATGTCATATATCATATATATCTCATGTCATATATCATATATATCTATATCATATATCATCTCATATCATATATCATATATATCTCATATCATATCATATATATCTCATATCATATCTCATATATATCTCATATCATATATCATATATATCTCATATATATCTCATATCATATCTCATATCATATCTCATATATCATATCATATCTCATATCATATATCATATATATCATAACATATATATCTCATATCATATCTCATATATATCTCATATATATATATATATATATATATATTATATATATATATTATATAATATATAATGTATATCTCATATCATATATTTCATATCATGTATCATATCTCATGTCATCTCATATCATATATTATATCTCTTATCTTATATCATCTCGTATCTATCTTGTATATCATAGATCATGTATATATGTCATATATCCCATCCCATCCCATCCCATCCTTAAGAGTTGAATCTCAAGTGACTGAAAAGTAAGTTAAGATTTAAATCTATGGATATGTGCTTGTTGTAGGCCTATTGAGGGAGAGATAGAGCGAGAACTCTCTAACGGCCATTTTGATAATTTCCGACAAAATGTTTAAATATTTGAGACAAAGTGAGAGTTACTACTGTTTTTGAAAGAGGTATCCATTCATTGTTTGGTATATTTCCTTACCTATTGTATCAGACGTGCAGCTGAGAAAACAGGTTTGGAATGTTAATGCACCCTTATGCAAGCCTTTTCAGTTCATAATCTATATAATGCAATGGCTTGTAGATTTGTTCAAATGTCATAATTTCTGTGCACTGATGTCTAAGCCCCGCCCTTCATCTAAGCACTTCTTTTTCTACCTTTTTTTTTTTTTTTTTTTTTTGTCAATGTTTAAATTGGGATGAAGTTTCCATTAATTCATCATTTAGTAGATTATTTTCTCCTTCTCCCTCTATTCGCCTCCCTCTCTCTCTCTCTCTCTCCTTTTCTCTTCTCTCTCTCTTCTCCTTCTCTCTCTCTCTCTCTCTCTCTCTCTCTCTTCTCTCTCTCTCTCTCTCTCTCTCTCTCTCTCTCTCTCTCTCTCTTCTTCTCTCTTCTCACTCTCTCTCTCTCTCTCTTCTCTCTTCTCTCTTTCTCTCTTCTCTCTCTCTCTCTCTCTCTCTCTCTCTCTCTCTCTCTCTCTTCTCCTCTCTCTCTCTCTCTCTCACTCTCTTCTCTCTCTTTCTCACTCTCTCTCTCTCTCTCTGCTTCACTTTTCTCTCTTCTCTCTCTCTCACTTTTCTCTTCTCTTCTCTCTCTCAACTTTTCTCTCTCTTCTCTCTCTCTCTCTCTCTCTCACTTTTCTCTCTCTTCTCTCTCTCTCTCTTTCTCTCTCTCTCTCTCTTCTCTCTCTTCTCTCTCTGCTCACTTTTCTCTCTCTGCTCACTTCTCTCTCTCTGCTCACTTTTCTCTCTTTCTCTCTCTCTCTCTCTTCTCTCTCTCTCTCACTTTCTCTCTCTCCTCTCTCTCTGCTCACTTTTCTCTCTCTTCCTCTCTCTGCTCACTTTCTCTCTCTTCTCTCTCTCACTCACTTTCTCTCTTTCTCTCTCTCTCTCTCACTTTCTCTCTCTCTCTCTCTCTCTGCTCACCTTTCTCTCTCTCTCTCTCTCTCTCTCTCACTTTTCTCTCTCTCTCTCTCCTCTCTCACTTTCTCTCTCTTCTCTCTCTCTCCACTCACTTTTCTCTCTCTCTCTCTCTCTGCTCACTCTCACTCTTCTCTCTTCTCTCTCTTCTCACTTTTCTCTCTCTTCTCTCTTCTCACTTTTCTCTCTAGTTTGACAGTGTTTATGGAAAAGCTGTTGCTCATTGACTTCATATTTCAGGTCTGTGGAGTGAGATGCACTGAACTGGATGTTGCATCCTATCATCAACAATCAACTAAATCACTGCATCACAAGAAGACTTCTCAATTCCTGTCCAGATTTTTGCAGTACTGGCATGCTGGGCAGGTACTTATTAATTTTCATGTGCTTACTGTGTACTGGATCATTGTCCTCTAGACCTGCATATGTTGGGAATGTTCAGAACCTCCAGATTGCAATATAATTATCATATGGATATTGCTCATTAGTTATGTAATTTTTTTTCTATAATTTGTTGGGATACCCATTTTAGTTAAGGTGGTACAAGAGTTTGGAACCACTGGAATGGTTTTGTTTTTAATTCTTAAGGCTTCTAAAAAGACTTGTTTTCTTTGATGCCAGATAATATGGTAATGATGGAAAGTAAGTTGAAATTAGTTTAAGGATATATTTTTATTATTACCATAGAATCTGGTCTGAACTAGGTTAAGCAAGGAAATGTTCCCCACAATGTTCACAATTGGTTGTATGGAGAGGAGTACCCATCATAATCTTATCCTAGATTGTCTCCAAGCTTTCAGTAAAACTTTGTCAGATTACACTTAGTCATGTGCATTAACTTTGTATGCTTAGGAAATAAAATTGACATAATGTCACTGACAGGACTTTCCTATTCCACATGCCGAAAGGCTGGTAAGAATGAGTATTGTGTGTATAAACTATCTTTCTAAAAGCCTTGTGCTGATGTATATTTCTACGCGCACAGGGCGTGGCAGTTGTTGCTGTTGCTGTTGTGTTGCTGTGGAGTATGGCGGGTTGCTGTAGTGCGGTGTTATGGCGGGAGCCGAGGCAGAGCCAGTCAGGCATGCAGCCGACGGGGGGGCCGCAAGGCACAGTACGGGCACGCAGGGCACCAAACCACTCCACCTTACTCATTAACAAACCTGTCATTATCCCATACTGTCCTGCTTCACTCTTTATTTTGTTTTAATTGTTTTCTTTCTAATGTTGTCTCCCTTGTACATTTACTCCCTACAAATTTTTTAGTTACACTTGCCTCCCTCAAAAAGTGCAGTTCATTAGAAAACTGTCACAATAATGACCTCAACATTCCTCAGAAAAATACCTTCTCTGCCTGTCATGTTGAAATGATTGGTACTGTTAGTAACAAGTGTACTAACTGATTTATCCTGTCCTGAGTGCTGACACTGTGGTGCCCTGTGATGCTGTGGAGGCGACTGGCAGCTGTGTGCGGGCACCTGAGAGTGGTGACTCGCTGCAGCTGTGGTAACCCTTGCAACGCTAGTGATGAAGGGTGGGAGGGTTATAAAAACACTGGCTTTCACAGGTCATTGAAGAAAAGTTTAATCGAAAGTAGTCGTCTTGTTATTATTATTTTCATTATTATTATTACTTTTACTATTACGTAAATTGTGATAGTTGAAGTAATGATGATAGTTAATAATAATAAATTTTATTTATATCCTTTTTATCAGCGCAGTTATTTTCATGTTGGAAGTGTATTATATATTTATTTTTCTCATTTGGTTAAGCTATATTCGTTTTCATATTTTTCATAATGAATTTTTTTTTTTCTTTCACTTGTACTCTTTACTAGCTAATCCTTGGATTAGGTCTCTGCCTAATGCAATGATTATAGTTGAGAGCCTTGGTGTATTAAGCATATATTTATTTTATATTTGTTTATTTACTTAGATTTATTTTTATATTCATTTTCTTGTTTTTTATTTATAATTATGAATATTCACTTTCAGGTTTGGTTTCGTGTTTACATGAAACCTTTTGTGACTGGGTTACTTGTAGTTGGGAAGTTTGGATGCCTAATTAGTAGGCATAATACATTATTTTACAAGCCTGCTGTTTGAAATTTAGGATTTTAACTTTCTTTTTCAGGTGATGCTAAAAATTGTGCAAGACCACCCTTCATAAGGTGTTTAAATTTTTTTTTTATATTCTAGCTGTTAAATGTTAATTGGATATAAGTAGAAGATTTGACTTTCGATTTTGCAGATTGCATGGGTAATGCTATGGATGCAAATACATAAACTTCCTCTACTCTATGATTTTGAATTGCAGTATTTGCAACACTAACAATATCTTGCAGATCAAGACACATATTCATGAACTTAATTTGGTAATTTAAGTTGAACGTTTTTATCATTATCATAATAATTATTAATGATTGATTATTATCTGTGGAAGATTAGATTTTTATTCAGGTTTACTTCCGTTTAGTGATATTTAAATTGAAGAATGTAGGGGTACACTGACGTCACAAAAAATACAGCACTCGGAATTTTAAAAGATCAAAAATAAAAATTCAGTTCACTTTCTCTCATAGACCACATGGGATAATTAAGTTTATCTAGTAATATTTATAATTGAAACTAACAACCCTTATAATTTATTGAAAAGACAGGAATTTAGCTGTGCAATATTTAATATCATGAAAATCTTGTCAGTCAAAAAGGTTATCTCAAAGTATACAAAGTCTACATCCCGTTACTTTAAGCTGTATGAAAGATTTTGACGAAAATAAATTTAGCTGTATCAAGTAATTAAAGTTTACAATATTGAAGTCGTCAAAGAACCATTACAGGCAAAGAATATCAATAAACGACACTTTTTTGCACATATATAACCACTTTCGTTTGAACTTTAGTATAAGGTTTGAAAAGGCTGCTTTTGTGGGTTACAATTATTCTGAGGTAAGTACATATAATCCTTAATAAACGGTTGCTTGAATACCTTGGTTTTATTTCGACCTAAGTTACGAGAAACTTCTGGGAATTAAGTCTTTGAAAGATAATACTTTTGGAATAAAGTTTCTGAATACTTCTAAGAACTGGGTTGCGTATCACTTGATAATACACTTTTTGATTCAATGAATGAAAATGTACCATAATTTGTATGTGAAGAGTTAAAAACTGATGATGGGAGTGCAAATGAATGCATAGACAAATAATTAGGTGCACAAGACCAGGAAAAATGTTTATCCGGTCCATTAATCATATGATAAAGTTTGATCTGTTATTCTTAGTTTTCAGTTATGACCTTTTATATGTCTAGCACATTTAGTTGATTCTACTATCAACCATTATTTTTTGAGATGACATCTTTTTGAATTTGTATATGCAAAAAAGTACAATCCCATACATATTTCGTAGACTTACTTGCTGATTCAAAAGGCGAGTTATCAAACTAAACCACGCGTGATCATGAAACTTTAAATTGTTCAACTTCAAAGTAGAGCAACACACCCCTCCTACAATTCCTACCCTCCTGTTGTGGGTGGGCTTAGGAGACAGACTGAGACCCAATATAGGGGATCGCCCCTGCCTTGAGGCCCTCGGCTCAACCAATTTAGTATGGCCTTTTTCTCCCAAACCCTTGCCCGTTGTTGTCGTGGGGGGGGGGGGTTAGGAGACGGAGACCGACCCAATGCATGGATCTCCCCTGCCTAGGGCCTCAGCCTTCGACTCAACTAATTTTGCATGGTCTTTTCCACCTTCAGCTTTTTGTTTCCGTCCATTCTCCAACCCCTTCTACTATTTACTTCCTAAGATGTAAGAGCCGTGCTGAAAGGATGAAAGGCTGGCCTTGTGCCAGTCCTGAACGGCCTGCGGGAACCATGGGCACAGTCCTCCCCTGATTTGATTGTCTAGCCCTTGACCCCGTACAGGGCACTAGGGATGGGATGTTTAGTTTTCTTTGCATAATCAAGGCTTCCCATTGCCAGTAATGAAGATGTAATACCCTTATTAGGAGCAATGAGGCTTGCACCCTTCAAATAGTCCCACCCTTCAAATAGTCCACCCCCCGACCCTAGGCTCTCCTTTGACCACGACTCCGAACACAAACTACTACCCACTCCTCTGCCTACTAGTGCATTACCGATCCAAGCAGAGACTTCAATCTCCAGAAAACATTCCTACCTACCCAACTTCCTCAAAGTCATCAACTCTACCCCTACAAACTTCATCAACTCTACCCCTACAAACTTCCTCAAACACCCCAACCTGCCTTATTACTACGTTGCAGCCTTATTCTCCATCTCTCCGTAATACTACCCCCCTCAACACTCCCGCTCCCACAGGCCCGCGTCCTACCAACACCAACCCTACAAATATCTTAACTACTCTATTTAACCCTTTCCGTACCCGACGCGATCGCTCCTGTCTCGTAACAGTCAGATCTGAAGCTGAAGCTATAGCATTATCAAAACTAAATATCTCTGGCAACCCCATCCCTGCAGAACCCCATCCAACTCTTAATACTGCCTCAAAGACCAGGACATGGTATCAAGTACATTGCTACTCCATTCCTCCTAGAGGTCATCGAAAGAAACCCACCAACATTGCCATAATTACTTTTAGTACCCATGACCTTCCCGTTCGTATCTACATTGGTGAACAATCCCTCCCTGTTCAACCATACCAAAATTGTTGGCGATTTGGACACCCTGCCAAACACTGCCGCTGCACAGACCGATGCCCCCTCTGTGCCCAACCCGGTCATTACAGATCAAACTGCCCTGCACAAACACGCACATGTGCTAACTGCGGCGCCCCCCATAATGTAATTTATAGAGGCTGTCCCATTTACAAGTTCGAGTCTGAGGTAGCAGTTCAGATATAAAAATGGTCTCTACGTGAAGCCAGGCAGGAAACGCCGACAAGGTTTCTCTTATACTCCCTACTCCAGTAATGTCACCCTTTACTATACCTTCCTATAGAGCTATATGACCTTAGATGTCTAGCACATTTATTTCGCTTTTAACCATTAACCATTAACCTCTCCAAATTAAATTATTTTGCCACTCTAAATCCAGACACCCCAATCTCAACTACAGCCCCAACACCGTCTCCTTTCCCTCCCCGCACTACCTGCAGCAGACAAACTAAACGTCCCCTCCCTTCCCCTACCCCGCACACTCGCCTCGACTCACCTTTATTTTATTCCTCAGACAGTCTCCTCCCCCCCATAAGAAAATCTTTGTCTCGCAGAACTCTCCAACCAACTCCACTACAGAAACTATAGAAGATATTCAAAGCTATATGCTTGAGACAAAATTCCACAACTCATGTTCTCTCCACACTTGAAGTGATTGCCGTGAAGAATTGCCGACTCACTACTCATCCTGCCAGTACCCGCGCTACTCCAACCCAGTACAACCCATCCCCCTCAATTCCAACTACTGCCGATATCCATCCTCCCGACACCCATCATCATCCTACTCATATTCCCCCTACACCACGTCCTCCTACTCCCTCCCAACACAACCCACCCCCTTCAACTCCAACTACACGTACATTCTCTCTATCAGTAATGCACATATACTCACCCGCTTCCTCTTTCACTATTTTTACAGACTCCGGCCATTCATTAACTCTCATAAAATATATGTACTCGATCAATCCCCTTCTCTGTAAGATCCAGAACTGGTTGTTCTACCTGTCCACACGCTATAAATCTCTCAGATTTTACTGGATGTCCAGCCATATTGGAATCCCCGGCAATGAACAGAAATATTCTAGCACAGCACACCAACCACGCTTCTCACGTATTCCAGCCATGGAGTATTATCCCCCACTTTAAGACCTTCCTGTATACCCGATGGCAATTTTTCTGGTCAAGTCTCCGCATTAATAAATTACATAACATAAAACTATCATTCGCCTCTTGGTCAACTCCATTTCACCGAAACAGACATTGGGAGACGGCTCTCGCACGCTTACGTACTGGCCACACTCGTCTAACACACTTGTATCTAATGTTTTGTCCACGCTTTGCTACAGCCCGCACCTCTACTTTCCATCACCTATCCTTCCTTCACCGAGCTCCCAATCTATCAGACATCCTTACAGAATACCACACTCTGTTTTGACAACCTGTTCTCCTTCCTCAGGCGCATACATATCCTTCATTTAATCTAATCCCCCCTATCTCACCCCACCGTAACCCATTCACTCATCAACTCCTTTATCCATCTTTAACCTTTTCTATATTATCCTAGATAGTTGACGCATAGCAACTAACTACTGACTCCACCATCCTTCACTACCCTTTTCTGTTCTTTCATATCGTGCTACATGACCTTAGATGTCTATTACATTTATTTTGCTTTTAACCATTAACCATTTTACCCACTGCCATCTACCTAGGTAACTCAACCTCCAAAAAGCTCTTTCAACCACAATATCCTTGACCCCATCTACATAACTGCCTTTATTTCCTACACCCCCTCGCTTGTTACAACTCTTCAACCTTACTGCCCTCCCCCCTCCTCATCACAACACTACATCATTCCACAACACCCCCTCTTCCTCTCGTCCTCGTCCTTCTACAATTCCCACCTCTACAACCATTTTGAATGCTCTATATAGCCTATCCCAGCCAAAAGGAACAGAATTACTTGCCTGTCCTAGTATGATACAATATCATTGTATCAGTTCTACCACCAGGGACCCGGTCATCACTACATGTTGATGACAATCATCTATGCCTCCGGTCCATCCATACATACTCTCCAACAACTCTAGTCAGCAATATCACCAGTATCCTCCTGGGCCACTAATCATGACTTTCGTTTCTCCACTACCAAAATCTTTTCTACCCTCTTCTCACGGAAACGTGTAAAACCCCAACCTCCGCTCTTCTTATACGGCCCTCCGCTCCAATACCGTTCGTCTGGAAAATTCTTTAGAGTAATTTTCGACTCCGAACTGTCCTGGCTAGACGATATCCTTCCCATCAAAGAAAAAGCTCATCGTTGTATTCGAATATCTTGGGGCTCAGACCGTAAAACTCTCCTTCATCTTCACACAGCCTTGATCCTCTCCACTCTTGATTATCGATGCCATATCTATTCATCTCGCATAGCAACCATCATCTGACATCACCCTTTACTATACCTTCCTATAGTGCTATATGATCTTAGATGTCTAGCACATTTATTTCGCTTTTTACCATTAACCATCTATTCATCTGCCTCTACGTCACTTCTTACCCATCTTGATACAATCCACCACTGTGGTCTCCGCTTAGCCTTGGGAGCATTCCACTCCCCTCCATAGGAGAGCCTGTACGCTATGTCAGGCATACCATCTCTCTCTCGACGCCGTGTCCTCCTCTCTCTCCGATGCTATGCGTTCTTCCACCAACAGTCCCTCACCAAATTAACTATTCCTCAATCACTACTTCCTACTTTTGCTTCATCTCCACTTTTACCAACTCCTTTCACCATCCGCATTAATGCTCTCCTTTCCCATTCCCCCTTACCATTTCTCTAACCTCTCCCCTTCTGTGTCCATTCCGTTCCTCCATGGCTTATACCTTTCCCCACATTTGCTCCTCTGTGTTTTCTGAACCACCAAAGTCAGATCTACCTCCTCCTGTCCTCCTCACCCACTTTCTTAACCATGTTTCTACTCATTCCTCTTATATCCAATGTTACACTGATGGCTCCAAATCCATTTCTGGTGCTGCTTTCGCAGCTGTCTTTCCAACCTACACATTCAAATACCCTCTACCTCCTGAGTCCATTGTTCTTGCCTCTGACCTGTACGCAGTCCTTTTCACCTTAAAACATACATACTCACTCTCTTCCTCCTCTTTCACTATGTTACTGACTCGTAACTCACAATCTCTCATAAAGTCTATAGACATAACCAACCCCCTTGTCTGTAAAATTCAGGAGTGGTTGTTCTACTTGTCGACACGCTATAAATTCATCAGGTTTTGTTGGGTGGCAAGCCATGTCGGATTCCCAGGCAATGAACAGGCAGATACCCTAGCATGCTCAGCCACTATGTCCACACCACAATCCCAGTGTCTCCCGTATTCCAGTCATGGATTATTACCCGGAACTTTAAAAAAAATTCCTTTATGTTCGATGGAAACCTTTTGGTCAGGTCTTGTCACCAATAAATAACATACAGTAAAACCATCACAATCTCCTGCTGGTCAACTTCTTTTCATAAAAAACGCGCTGGGAGACGGCTCTTGCCCGCTTGCGTATCGGCCGTACTCGCCTTCCGCACCCTTACTTGATGTTACGATCTGACCCGCCCCTATGTTACTTATGCAACGCTCCCATTTCAGTCTCACGCTTCCTGTTATCCTGTCCGCGTTTTGACACAACCCATATTACTGTCTTTCCTCACCTGTGTTCGCTATGACCTCCCAACCAATCAGACATCCTGATGGAATCCCATAATTTTGCACTGAAAACCTGTTCTCTTTCCTCAGACTCAAAACCCTACTCAGACACACACACACACACACACACACACACACACACACACACACACACACACACACACACACACACACACACACACACACACACACAATAATAATAAGTGCTGGCCGATTGATAAACTTTATGCTCCTTGTGCTCACCTGTCTTTATTTCCATACAAAGGAGCATATTTAATATTGCCTTAACTCGAATTGGGAACCAAATGATAGACACAGACAGAGGAGTGGGAGGATGTGTGAAAGAGAAGGGAAAAGAGAAAAGGATAAGGAAATGGAAATGGGGAGAGGAAGATGGAGAAGGAAAGGGAAAGAACGTCTTGGAACAAGCCTTGGGTAGTCATTTGTTGGGGAAAACTATCGAACATCTCATTCCTCACAGTACGCTCTAATACTACTAATTATACGAATGACCACTCAAGACCTGTCCAAAGACACTCTCTCCGTCTTTCCTTTTCTCTCTCTATTTCTCTACTTTCCATTCTTTCTCTCTCTCTCCTTTCTTTCTTTCTCTCTCTGTCTCTCCCTCATTCTCTTTCTTTTTCTCTGTCTCAATCTCCTCTTCTTTCTGCCTCTCTCTCCCTTTTCTTTCTCTCTCTCCTCTTTCTTTCTCTCTGCCTCTCTCTCTTTTTCACCCTCTCCTCTTTCTCTCTCTCCTTCTCTTTCTCTCCATCTCTCTCTCTCTCTCTCTCTCTCTCTCTCTCTCTCTCCTTACAACATTTAGTCCAGAAAACATGGTAACTATCAATACCTTTCATCAAATTTCTAGCCGATCCGAGCTGGGTATACGTGTAACTATACCGATAACTTCTCATATAGGAATATCAATCTGTGACAAGGTAGATCAGTTAGCCAAACAAGCACTTTCCCATGAAGAACCATATTATTAATACCGTTATCTGCTAGCTGTCTTCGAGATCATGAGGGCAAGGTATGGACCACCGAAAAACTGAAGAAAAGTGGACATGCTACCATCTGGCATTATGAAAGTATGTATTGTCGGGACATGTGATGCTGACAAACCATATAAAGTCTACGATGGACTGTCTCGGAAACAGCAGGTTACGCTAACTAGGCTGCGCATAGGATACCAATACACTATACATTTTGTACAGGATGCAGTTTTGGAGGCAAAGCCAGTTACATATCACCACTGCAAAATGTGCAAGGAGCCCAAGTCGCATAATCTTCCACATTACTTACTTATTGATTATATTAATTTTATCATAGACAATGGTCTTGTCTTCGATATGATTAGGGATGGATTTTTTTTTTTTTTTTTTTTTTTTACCAACTAGATGATATATGAATAATATAAGCATAATGACACAGCCCTTCAGGCATGTAGAACTAATGTTTGACTAATAGCCCTTTAGATAAATATAAGCATAACCGGTTTGGATAGATGCTGTAGCATCTTACCCTAGCTTTTTACATGGCATGTACACTGTTCTGTAAATAAATCTTATCAAATCAAATCTCTCTCTCTCTCTCTCTCTCTCTCTCTCTCTCTCTCTCTCTCTCTCTCTCTCTCTCTCTCTCTCTCTCTCTCTCTCTCTCTCTCTCCACTAGGAAAGAGGACGCTGTCGACGGAAATAAACAAATAACGGACTAAGCGAGATTTTCCATACAGAGGATCTTGGGATAATTTCAGAAACACAAGAGCCTAACTCAGACACTGGTGAAACTGATGATCATAGCGAAGACTATATCGATAATAGAGAGAAAAACACTGACAACGAAAAATTCTTCCTATAATCATCTCAGACTTTGACTCTATAAACTTGTCTGTCTCTTCGAGTACGGTCTGCAGTGTGACAGCAAGAGCTCAAACTCTTTCTGGCCCTTTAAAAGGAGGCAATGCTAGATAAAGCGTTAATTTAAATAAATGTATTACGTTGTTAACTTTCATCTTATTATGGAAAAAGTTAGCTGTATTCTAATATTCACCGTTTATGATAGTGTATGCTTCAATATTATCATTCATCCATTTTCTTTCTCATCCAATGTTTGGAAAACGCCAGAATTGCAACACCGGAGACGCGATAAACCCTGACGCCTGCTGCAGTTGCACACGCCAGTGTATCTTTCTCTTTACTTCGTCGACGAAACATGAGCTATGGTCACGGCTCCCCCGACATCAAGGCGATGACGTCGCTCAAGGTGGATAATCTCACCTATAGAACGACGCCAGAAGATTTGCGGCGTTCCTTCGAGAAATTTGGCGAGATTGGAGACGTGTACATCCCGCGAGACAAGTTTTCTCGTGAAAGCAGAGGCTTTGCCTTTGTTAGGTAAGCGTTTATCCGGCATGTTTCAGTGAGCTGTATCAATATTACGGTTAATGTTACCGAGAGCGATGCACAGAGATAGGATGAAATGGATACTGCCTTTTAGTAAAAGGTAAGGGTCAAGCTTCAACCAGCCGTCTTTTTTATGGAAAGTGATATATGCAAACGATAGAGGGAATAAATCTAAGAAACTTATCTCCAATATACTTCCGTCGCAAATAAGAAATAACCGAGTTATTGGACACGCAAGTGTCAGAGATCTCAAGATTTTAAAAATGGGGACAAATTGCAGTTCGAGGAAGTGGCAGAGTTGCGTGTTATTATTCCTATATAAAATGACAGGACTATATAAACCAATTTAAGATTTAAAAATGGGGACAAATTGCAGTTCGAGTAGTGGCAGAGTTGCGTGAATGACAGGACTATATAAACCAATTTAAGATTTAAAAATGGGGACAAATTGCAGTTCGAGGAAGTGGCAGAGTTGCGTGTTATTATTCCTATATAAGATGAGAGAACTATATAAACCAAGACAAACTTCGAACAATATGCAGTACAAGGTTGTGGTGGAGTTTAGTAATAAAACCTACATGAAGTGATAGAACGATACAAACGAAGACAATTTTCTTCTATGGCAGTATTTGTGCAAATGCTTATAAAAGGTGCTATACGTAAAAGAACAGGTGAGAGCCCAATTTTAGCCAAGTCGATGATCTTGTGTCGAGAGTAAACACTGCACTAACCGCAGAAGACTGCCATATCCCAAGAAGTTCACGTGCAAAATAATATTTTGTTAATCATCAGTATCAGCTGTTCCACATTTAAGCTTCCAGCAGCCTTTATTAGTGTTGCTATACCTCATTTACGAGTTTTAAGATTGATTTTTACAGTTCTGTAGAAGAATCGGTCCGAAGAACCTTCTGCGCATGCGCACGTGCACGCTTCCAGGCGCCAGTTTTGACAGAATTCCTGACCATGCCATGACAAAAGGCCGGCGACAAACGTTTCCTTTTCGGTGTTACGTTGATTCTTGGCTATTCTTAAGATTATACAGTGGCAACGAAGAGACCAGACCCCTTGTAATGTTTATATCTAAAACCCTGCGCGCGCATGGTATGAGGCAAAACATTTGCCATTATCTGTTGTTGCGAAAAGCGATCTTACTACCTCAATGGAACTTTTGTGATTTGCATTACACTTTTGATACGAAAAAAAAAAAAAAACACGTGTTGGTACATGCAGCTGGATCGTTTACTTTGAAGTGTGCTGCTGCCTCGAACTTGAAGAGATATGCTGCGGTTTGGAGCCAGCCACAGTGCTGACAGGAACTGCTATACTCATTTAATATTTCTGTTGCCAGTTAATGTATCAATAAGTTTTTTTTTATTTGTATTTCTCTAGAATTTGTAGTAATGATTGGTTTTCATTGATCTGTTGATAACACTCTTTAATCTTATATAAGCTTATGTCTACCTATGAAACTTTGTTTGGACATTATCCTTGCTCGTTTTATATGAAATTTGTAGTTACCACCAGACACATGATTTGCTCCGACCACTGGTAAAATTTGCCATAACTTCGATTGTACGTTGTTTGTGAATATTACCACTGTCTGTTTACGATTGTAACTGTTGCCAGTAATTTTACCATCATAAGCACGTTAGTGAACCCGGCCCCAGGCTTATAATGGGCATTGCAGTAGACAGAAATTAAATGGGAGTACAGTTATGCTCACGAATAGAAGTCTACCTACCTTCACAACCCACCATATGTTTCTACATGGTGCTCCTTCATGGTGTAGTACTCATTGTGTCCAAAGTAAGGACAAGATAAGGGAGAAAAGGAATGGGATAGGTAGTGAAAGAAGAGGGGGCAGCAAGATGGGATAGTTGGGGGAGAGCCTTGTGGTGATGGATAGATGGGCGATCTATGGTACCCAGTCCCTCCTTCCTTCCTTTCCACATCTCACTCGTCCCTTCCCTCTCCCGTTAGTTCATAACACTGTGTATCTAGTTTTAATTTTTCAGCCTTGGGTTTGGGATTTCATCAGTATCATGATTCATGTTAAAACAAGCTGACGTTTATGCATTAATCATGATATATGTGTGGTTCTAAAACCTGATTTTTCAATGTATCTCCAGGTTTTATGACCGCCGAGATGCAGAAGATGCAATGGAAGGAATGGATGGTCGACAGCTGGATGGCCGAGAGCTGAGGGTGCAGATGGCCCGCTACACCCGCCTGGAAGCCCCTCCCCAACGTGAATCAAAGTCTTCAGAGAAGCAAAATGAGCGTGGAATGGGCGAGGCAGCTGCTGCGGAGGGAGAGCAAATGGACCATTCTTAGTCCTGATCACGTTCAAGATCTCGATCGAAGTCCAGGTCAAGATCTGAGTCATCTAATAAGTCTGGGCCACACAAGGTAAGATTAGATAAACATATTTATCTTGAAATAATAATGTTCAAGTGCTTATTCTATTAGGTGAAAAATGAAAACAGTATTGAAATGGATATTAGTAGCATTAGAATTGAAATCCTTTGTGTGATTTTGCCATCATCTGTAAATAAATAAATTACATTTTCATGCTTGTGCAAAAATGTGTCCAGTAGATAGATAATCCAGGGTATACCTGTCTTGCATAGATTTGCACTGATTTCCAGTCTCATCCCAAATAATAGAAATGACATAAAATGTGGGAAAATACAGTGCAATGTGTTCCACTCCCCTCCCCTGCCTTCTCCGTATAGTGCACGACGTGGTCTCACTCCAGGAGTTACTAAGATGCTAAGTATCTCTCATCGCCACACCCACAGGCAGTCGTATGTTTTCCTCTCCATCAGAAACGACGAACTCGAGGTGGCAACACTCCTGCGGCATGGCGACCTTTTGCCCTGTGCCTTCCTCGGAGACTATGGGAAAGACTCCTTTATATTGCCACAATCTCCCTTGCTTCTCCCTCATTACTACATGGACTCTGGCCGCCTACAACTCGCCGAAACCCGAAGCACAAAGCGAGTGAGGAGGATGCCCCAAAACAGTGTTGCGACAGACCGTTACTATAACATATTTTTATTTGTTGCTTCCTAATTGTATATTTGTATTCAATTTTCTTGGCACTTCTCTCGCTCTGAAAAGGCAACCACGAGACGGAGTTGAACTCTTACTTTTTGCATTTTAGAGGATGTGTTCATTATATACATCCTTGTATATACATGATTGTGTTTATTATATACATCCTTGCTATATGCAGAAAACTATATTTTCTTGTCTTTTAATTCTTATTAACTGGTATTTACAACTTTTATTGACTAAATGTCACTGATTTTCATAACTGTTACGTTGGTTCTGTATGTAAAGTTTATCCGTCTCTTTGTTGATACTTATTTTTATTACATAAGTATTTTCTTGTATTCTAAATTGATGTTAACGTTGATTTTATCAAGATGCACACTGTAAGAAGTAATCGTATTTCTTGAAAGTTCCCGCATAGAACCTGAAGTGGGCGAGTAGAAAAAGCATGCGAGAGGGATCCAAGGATTAGATTTGTGCCTCTTGTGTTGCCTGTGAGGAATCCCCTGAGTGGGCCTCCCTGGACATAAAGTTCAGTGTTGCAAAGATTTGTTAATATGCGGTGGTGAGAGAAACTTGTTCAGCTTGTTCTTGGGGAAGTGACCAAAGTGATTCGGTGCCTTACTTAATCTTTCAGAAAAGTTTTTTGTCTTTATTTTTTATTGCTTTATGTCAGTTTTAATGTTTTAATAAACTATTTCATATCACGTTTATACCGTCATTTCCCTTACAAAATAGAGATGTGAAAGGGAAAAGAATAAAATAGGACAATGCATTAGTGAAAAGAGTGAGGATCAAACTATAAATTCCTGGCTTTCTTGTGATGCACCTCAGTTGATAGATATGATATTCTATTACCTACGTTGGAGAGTTGTCTCCGCTCACGCCTCTCTGCGGCTAAGTTAACGCAGTTCAACATTTATATTCTTGCACCAAACACATACACCATACACTCACTGCACTTACATACACAGTCTGTCGTTTTCTGCACTATCTCAATTTTCACAAACAAATCTCGTGATGTTCCCATACGCAAATTAAGTGGGTGGTGGCAGTGACGATACTTTTTGCAATTTTTGACAAAGCATAAAATTACTAATCCCTCTACAAGAGGACTGGGTATTTACATTAAGAATACTGTTCCATCAAAAGTGGTCGAAGACAAACGTGACAATACGTGTGCTGAATATCTTGGTTTTGAAATATTTCTTGAGGGTAAAACAAATACCATCATCAATGTAAACCCACATGATGGTGAAGTGGTACCTAAACCTGAGAGAATGATACTTAGTGATACTGCCTTACTGTTCGGGGATTTTAATGCTCGGCATCCTCTCCTGGGCTCTGATCGCAGCACCTTAGACAAAGATGGTAAGGTTTATCATATGTATCTCCAAAACACTAGTGATTCCATACACCTATTATGCCCTTAGAAAAGACTCATTACCTAGGACGCCAATTAGATTATATAACTGCACAATAAGCACACACTCCTTAGCCTTGCGAAAGTAATCCCATTCTTAGACAGTGACCATTGTGCATTAAGCATAACCCTCCTATGAAGCAAAAGGAGCCCATCACAGCCACGCTTTTGATAACATCCTTCTACTAAACATCATGATGAGTTTATATAAAAAAAGATAAGCTGCTGGTACGAAGACTTTACTCCGACCAGCCTTGATCATTTTAATGAAACTGTCAATAAGTTGGTAATATCGTTACCCAAATGCACCCCAGAGACCCTGTCAAACATAGCTCTCTATCCCCCTGAGGCAAATGAGCATATCGCCTAAACAAAGATCCTGAAATAAAGCTGCTTATACATTTGAGAAGGTCTGCAGTTAACAAACTAAAACTCTTGAGAAGAAACCCCTTCTTCGCTTGGGACTTTCTTTAGTGACAAGATTAGTAAGATAACTTATATAACTTAAAGCGGGAAGAGAGATTGTATGCCTTAGCAGAATCGATTGACTCCACGAATCCCATGAGTAATGTGTGGAGGTAAATCAACACGATTAAATCAATGTATCGTGTTACTCCCCACCTTCATCCAGAAAGGGTAGCTTTGTCACTCGGCAAATGATGCGAAATTTCCTCTCAACAGTCTTCCATTATCCATACCAGGCAAGTGGGATCGATTCTTTGTGATTCCCGCTAAAGTTCCTAACTCAGATGATATCCTCCTCTTCCAACAGTCTTCAAAAACAAGCAGGCAAAGTTTCCTTTGGCAGTCGTTCTGAACATTCACGTCCTGTTACAATTGCATCCGAGTCCCAAGCTCGTGCGCTATATACCCTGATTGGCGTCACTGGCAAACCTTTTCTTGCCGAACCTAACTCCTCCCTTAATACTTGTACCGGAATTGTTTCCGTCATCCCGATTGATTGTCCTTGCTACAAGAAGACCTGGTCAGACTGTGAAAACGACCAGCTCGCCTGCCTCACAGACTATGATGCAGAGGCAGTACATTGCTACGCTATTCCTCACAGTGTAAGTCCTACACCAATATTGCCAAGATGAACCTCTGTAGACATGACCTCCCCCATGTAGCGTACATCAGTATAGTGCCCTGCCCTATCCGACCATCGATCCCTTCCCCGTCAATGTTGGCGTTTTGACCACCCAGCCAACACCGTCGCTCCCACTGCCCTCTAAGTCCCAATCTGTTCACTCACGCACTTCTGCCAATTGCGGTGGCTCCCATAATACATTTTATATGAGTTACCCTGCCCTTAAGCTAGAATCTAAGGTAGCACTTTTCAGATTCAACCTAGGCCTCACTCTACATGGAGTCAGACCGGAAGCTTGACGACGAGGCTAATCCCTCTCTACCTATTCCAAAACTGTCCTTCGTTCCGCTTCCCTCCCATCTCAGTATGTCTCAGCAACTTCCCCAGTATCCCTTGCCTCTACTCCCTCTCTCATCCAGTCAAATTTCCTTTTCGGTCTAAAATCCAGATACTCCACTTTCCCGAGGCCTACCACGCCACCTCTCACTCTACGTGGCGCACCAGGCGATCTAAACGCTCCACCCTATCTTCTACCACGTCCTCTTTTCCACCCCCCTCTGCCTCTGGTCCCCGGACATCTATCCCCTGTCCTCTTCATCACAAGAAAACTTTTGTTTCTCAGATCTCACCCAAATCCCTTCCAGAAACTCTCGAAGACATCCAAAACTTCCTAAACGTGACCCAAGAGAATACTCTGCTCCCTCATCCCTCTATTCCCATTCCCTCTACATTCAAAATAATTGCCGATATCCTTACTCCTCAAGTTCCCCCCTACCCTCTTCCTCCCTCTCTCCCCCAAAACACCTTATCCTCTCCTTCCTCTTCTTTCCCCATTATCCTTCTCCCACCTGGATGATCACGTGACCCTTATGCCCCAACATTGTCCTCCGGATTCTTCCCTCCTGACATTCTTCCTGATACTTCTTCACCTTCCCCTGTTCCCTCAGCTCATTCTCTGAATTCTTCTCCTACTTCTCCAACTACCATTAGACTTCTTCAGTAAGAAATAAAGATAACCATTAAAAGGAACTTAGAAAAACATAACGGTATATGATTACTTTACATATTTTATTACTGTAACATTGCTATGACATGCATAGTTTGGCTAAGTGAGGCTTCATCCATTGCTCAGTGTACTTTCGCGCTGGTGACTCAGCTAGGAAGGCGAGCGGATCAGGAATCCTGTCTTTGCGGTTTGGTCTTCCTTTGAGGCCGCGGCAGGAACCCCAGGTCTCCAGACCGGTACCTGAACTGCCCTTCGCCCTGGTCCCCGCTCTCGGAGGCGTGGTTTCGCTGGTCGGCCTTGCTGGGCGGCGCCGAATCTGAAGAGGCGTTAGGATGGTCGGAATCCTGGTTTCCGGGGAGGTGGGAGAACTCGGCAGCCGTGAGGAGGTTCACCAGCTGCTGAAGGATGGCGGCCACGTTGTCCGATTCGCCGCTGTCTCCCTCCTGAATGAAATACAAGCATTAAAATTAGATTTTTTTTTTCAATTTCGAGAATTTTCCGTGGATGGAGAGAGATAATAGATAGATAGATAGATAGAGATAGAGAGAGAGAGAGAGAGAGAGAAGAGAGAGAAGAGAGAGAGAGAGAGAGAGAGAGAGAAGAGAGAGAGAGAGAAGAGAGAGAGAGAGAGAGAGAGAGAGAGAGAGAGAGAGAGAGAGAGAGAGAGAGAGAGAGAGAGAGCGAGAGAGAGCGAGAGCGAGAGCGAGAGCGAGAGCGAGAGAGAGAGCGAGAGCGAGAGCGAGAGCGAGAGAGAGAGCGAGAGAGAGAGAGAGAGAGAGAGAGAGAGAGAGAGAGAGAGAGAGAGAGAGAGAGAGAGAGAGAGAGAGAGAGAAAAGAAAAGATGGATATTAAGAATGTTTCATAAGTTCGGTGCGCGTGGAATTGCAAGTCCCGTATTTACCTGAAAGGCAGCGTGATGCAGGAGGCCTAATGCTGATTTGATGGTGTCTTGCAAGGCTCGTCGCGCAACATCTTCCTGTTGTAGATGTGAAGCAGTGAGGTCCAGCGCGATGTCCTTCTCCGCGGTGCGCTCTCGAAGGTCGCGGGTGGTTTGCGTCGCTGCGTCCAGCTGAGCCTGCATGACCTGCGGCACACGCGAGATCGGAATGATGAAACGTCTCATGCTTTAGCATTTTGTAATAATACTCTGTGTGCATGTGGGTGCGTCTTGTGCGAGTGCGTGCAGCTAAGCCACTGCTGACAATTATTTTTTTGTTACGTCCGATCTTTGGAACGAAAATCTAAAAGGCATTAGGAATGACTGTATATTCAAGACTAACTTGTAAATCCGTTCGAAGCCGCTCGTTCTCCCTGGCCAGGCGGTGGTAGTCCCGCCACACGTGCGCGTGCTGCTCGGCGCGCTCCGTCACCGCCTGCAGCAGCCTCCCCCGCCGCTCGCCCCGCGCCGTCACCCTTCGGACCGTGTCCTGTAACAGCGCCTCTCGCACCTGCGAATACACGGCCGCTGAAATTAGCTGTTCCTTGCAACTCCCCGTCTTCGATTTTGTTAAAGATCATTAGCCAAAATTAGAATGTTTTTTCCTTGAAGCTCTGTCGTAACAACTTTGGGGTGAGACAAAATAATTCGCTGGATACGTAAAGGTTTCTTTTTAGAGACCTTGGCAGTCTCAAAACTTTTTAAAAGTCTAAACCATTCTCTAATCATAGCGATTAAATGATAACAATATTTCTGTTATGTGCTCTTCCTTGCGAGTCTGGAAGTATATTAACGTCTAGCTTGCAAATCGTGAGTTGAAGTATCACC